TGTGATCCTAAGAATTGTTATGGTGAACTTAAAGTAGTGAAAATAAGGGCAAGCCTGTGGCAATATGTATAAATGAGTTGTGAAGTTGTTCTGAGAGAGAGTGTTGAAAATTAATCCTTATACTCAAAGTGAAATCCTTATGTGAAAAATGAGGATGTTATTTTGAAGTAAGGACACTAGATGCAATACCGGAAAAATTAGCACCTAGGTGAGAGATCGAAGAGGATAGGTGTCAAGTTGTGGTGAGTAAGTGTCATGGTCTTATCCACATAATTCAAACTAATAATGATAGCATGCATAAAGATAATGAGAATAATCAGGATTTATATCCAAATGATTGCGAAAGATAAAAGATGGATACTCTTGTACAAAGATTTTGTAGTGAGTCATAGTGTGTCGCTTTAAATAAAAAAATGAATTTAAGTTGAGGGTGTTGATGTACCGTGGTTTCACGGTACTTTCAATGTCCTTTCCTTAAGTTTAGTGTGTTTCTAAATCCTTTTTGTATTGATTTTTTATGTAGGTTTCTCTTTATTTTGCAGTAAATCTGTCCAAAGGAGAACGCTGAGGACTTGAGCAGAAATTGCAGAAGTGACCACCTACGGATCCCACGACGGTCCATTGTGACTGTGACGGTCTGTAGGTGGCACTGTAGTGAGATGAAAATGGCTTCTGAAGGAAGTTGGAGAAGTCTGATCAAGTGTGGGACTACGGAAACTCATGACAGACTGTCATAGCCTTCATATTTGTCGTGGTTGTCAGAAAGTAGTTCCAGTACCCAATTTCAAGAAGTTTATAAGCGTTGTTTAATAGAAGCCCTCGATGGGCCGTCATGCTTGCAACGGTCCGTCATATCTATCCGTCGAGGGTATTAGAGAGTTGATGAAGATAGCAGCAGAAAATTATGCCAAGTATGCAACGACAGAGCCCACGATGGTCCGTCGTGTCAATGACGGTCCGTCGCAGGGATCGTCGATTCAGATGCATTTTGGACAAATTTGCCTTAAATAGAGTCCTTCTTTTATTAATTTTTATTTTATTATAAATAGTTTGAAAAAGCTCATTTTGGGGGTTAGACTTTTGGATATTTTTTAGTTCTTTTGTTTGAATATTGAACTCTTGATTTTGGTATTTGATCATACTTTTTCGGAATCAATTGTTGGTGTTTTTGTTAATTATTCAAGTGAATTTCTGGATTTTCTTCATTCTCATAAAAGTAAGTGCATGAATTCTTATATTATCAATATAAATTGTGTAATTATTAACTTGGGTAACTAAACTCTATAACTAGGGTTGTGGGAACCATGGGTAAATAACAAGGTAAAATCTAGCTAAAATAAAATTCTAGAATAGTGTCTTTCATGTATTGCTAATTCTTTTGCTCAAAAGTCTTTTTAACGGGTGGCCAACATTAGAACTCGCCTTGTTGCTACTTTCCGGACCAAGGAGGTTGATAATAGGAAAAGAATTATCGACATACATATAGTGTATACTATCTAATATGGTAGTATCGATCAGTAAGAAGTAACAACTTAGTCAACTATCGAATGTGATGCTTAATATGAGGTAAATATAAGGTTTAGTAAAACAACACACGTATCCAGATCAAGGTGCGGAGTGAGATTCTCTAGATGTTGGACCACGGATTTAGAGATACCTAACTTATCACTTTGCATTGCAAGATACTAGGAAAGAATTGTTATAGGTAGAATTACATAGTTAGGAGCTCTGGGGAACACTTACGCCCTAGTTACTCTCATTTCTTTATAAAACTCCATCTTGAACATGTCACTTGTTAACTTTGATTTAGCTATTTGCTTTTATTAATCAAAAACCCCTTTAGTTATTTATTTTTCCAAAGTAATTGACTAAATAGAAGTAATAATAGAATAAAGTTAAGTCTAAACCATTTTCCTCATGGGAATGATCCTAAACTCACTAGTCTGGTTCTTTACATAGGTTGACCGTTTTTCCTTCTTTTCGAGAAGTAAATTTGAGCGTATCAATGTACTTAATATCAAGGGACTTTTTATTCAAAACATGTCATTTTACCCCTGTAGGGACTTGATGCAAAGTCCAGTAAGTCATACCAATAAACCAACATGCTTACTATCTCGACAAATAATACTTATCCAAAGATACTTTAAACCATGATTTATTACAACCCTAACATCAAGGAATAATATCACAATAATGAATAAATTTTTAACATATCATAAGAAGCAAGACAAGTACTCACAAGTCCTCATCAAGTCAAAAAGTGTAATCACCAAGAAAAGCCACATAACCTTATTCAATCAAGTATCCTCAACAAGAAAACATGACCAGTGTCCAACTTTACTTGTCATGGAATTTAGGTTTATATTTCATCATATACTAACATTATAACCCAAGGCATATAACATAAATAAACTAATAAACATATAGTATCAACAGTGTGTCATGGTCATCAAATATACATCATATATTATCATAACATAAACATATATAAGAACCTCCTCCTATGACACCCCTCAAGGCTAACTAGTGCATTGTCTAGGTAAAGTCCCATACCCTACCTAGACTAAGCTAGACATATTTAGGTTATCCTAGTTAGAATTCAATTTTTTAATTTATTTTACCTTTTTGTGAACATATTTCCCTAACCGACATAGGCCACATGAGCTAGTGTGGAATCAAGTGTCATAAGACCCTACACTGAAACAAGGCTGACTACTTTCCAAGTTATTACCAAAACATGAAACATAGAAACTACGTGGATCCATTAGCTAGTATTCCTATGAAGGCAACATAGTTCAAGAACTAGGAGATTTAGTTGGGACCCTCTTAATGCATCATGCATTATAGTCTTCAATCTGAAGAGTAACATAGTTTTCCTACCTTCCCTATTTGGGAAAGGACACTCCTCTATCTAGTTCACTCGGTCCTAAGCTAGAGTCCCTTTTTTGAAATGTATTTAAGCCTTTAATTATCAATAATATCTTAATTTATGTGATAGGTCTACCCTTTGGATAATCATCATCTTCAATGGCTCAATAAGAATCGTATGAGTATAAGTCCTTTCATCACAATTCCTATAAATGATTTTAACACATTAGCATTTCATAACATACTAAGGCACATTGATAGTTACACCATCCTTATATCACATACACCTTAATCAACCTCACAACATAGTCAAGACATTTCAATTTAACATCATACCAACCCATAATCCTAGTAATGAGGCATACTCTGATGTAATATCACGACTTAACAACAATTATTCACAACTGGAAGTAAAGATAGAGATTATAAGTCTTACCAAGTCTTCCTCATAGTCTATCATCAAGGTCTTACCATCAACCCATGACTTAACCCAACTTACATCATCACACAATAATAACCAATAGAATAACAAGTCCAGTTGCATCTCTATAACACAATTCATCTTTAGATCATAATTGGAGACAAGATACATAGGCTAATTTCACATTATAATTCATAACTTAAATCACATATCAAGAACTAGCATGACAGGCCTATAATTCATCTTAATTTAATAATGATAACGCCATATGATAGTGATATAATTAACAACCAACTCAATTAAATGATCACAATACAATATAGGTCAAGGTCACTACCTAGGGTTAGGGACAAAGGATCATATTCTTCAATTTAGACCAAACCATCAACAATTACGATAAAAAAGTTGAATTACATTTTAATATAATCAATATAACCCTAAGAAATCATTAACAACTAAATCCATAACTTCAATTTTGTAATTGAATGAAACTCATAACAAATCTCAGCTTTATGAAATCTATTTTGAAGGAACCCTTTGAGGAAAAAGCCTCAAAGGTGAATAGAACGCATACCTTAATGTTTGTCAAAAATTTGATGGTGAATTTTTCCCTTTTCATCCCTCAAACCCTAGTCCTTGCTAGTCTTCAATGGTGAGTTCATGTAGAGAGAGAAATAAAAGAGAAGGAAAAGAGTTTATTTGAAAGTTGACTTTAGGTTAATGAGGGTTGAGGGTATTAATAGTGGGGCTTAATTAACTTTATTAATCTCCCTTTAATCCCCAACAAACACCTACATCACTTAATTAATTAAATGAAATCATTTTTGGCAGTGAAATTCGACACTCACATAACAGACCCCAACCGACGGGCCATCTACGAGTCGACGGACAACCCCCCCCTCCGTCCTGCACTTCATCGTCTCTGTCAGATACTGTGCAGGTGAGGGATTCCTCCAATTTGTCTAAGTATGGGACGACGGTGGCATCGATGCCTTGTCGATACACACACGGACTGTAGCCTGCACCTCTGCACTCCGTCGATGAATTCAGAGACTGTGCAGGTGAAGGGACCTTCTCCACCATCCTAAGTGTGGGACGATGGAGGAATCTACGCCCCGTTGATCCACCCGCGGGCCATCTTCTGTCCCATGGATGCATAATGCAAGGTAGTGTTGCATTAAACTACAGGGGTCCTCCTCAAGGGCCTTTGGGGAGTCGTACCTAGAAGCTTTAATGATGAAAAAACTTAAACACCTATTATCTACCTTTGCACTAATTTTCATACATTTCCGACTACTAAAAATTAGTCTAAAAAGCTCAGGCGCACTATCATCCCTTTGAACCAACTTCCCGGATGTTTTGGACATTTTGGTTCTTAAGTGACTTATATTCATTCAAAATGGAAGTAGGTACAGTGCTTAGACTTTATGACACCTATGTAAGTCTTTACAATGAATCTTGGATTTTTAAGGTGTTACATAACTCTATTGAGCAATGATATAGGACAACTCCTAAAGACTCTTCTACCTGCAAAGGAGTCACCTACCGGGGTAGTAAACAAAAATGGTTGAATCAACACATCAGGTAACACATTAAACTTCATTGGCACTAAGGGAGTTATAAAATAAAAGGTGAAACCAGGATCTAATAAAGCATGGATATTAATGAAAAGACTTGTAACAACACCGATGACAACATTGGGAGAAACCTCTTAATCATCCCTAAAGCGGACAGCATAGAAGCGATTCTTCAAAGGAGGATCAAAAGTAGGACTACTTTCTTGAAATTTGTTACTCTCCCTTCCTCTATCCTTAAGTACGGGGCATTCCCTCACTTTATGGCCACTCTTTCCACACTCAAAGCAATTATATGTCCCAACTAGACATTCACCCCTATGTTTATTACCGCATTTGGTACATGTAGGTTTTTCACTTGGTGAATTTCCATTTCTTCCCATTTGGGACCAAGGGTTACACACCCTATCCTTACTATCTTTGGGTAAATTAGGAAGAACTTTGTCGGAGACCCTCTTCTTGACTTTAGGTTTGGCTTGAATTTCAAACTTACCAATAGAAGTAACTCCTTCATAGGGCCTCGCCTTCTTGAAATCCCTATTCTTCCTCTTAATCCTACTCACCTCAACATGTTGAGCACACACCATCAAACAAGAAATGTCCATGTTTTAATGAAGCGTTGCCGAACGAAACTCTTCCACAAGATCATCGAACACACTAATCAAAAAATGGTTCATTTCACCTCTAGGATTGGACACCATAGAAGGTGCATATTTGGACAACTTAGTGAATTTCAAAGAGTATTCTTCCACACTCATACCTTCTTGATGAAGGTTGATGCACTCTTCCGCTTTAAGAAATGTCCTCTTAAAGACTTTCCAACTTATGGGACCCGCTCTCAAATCCATATTCTCCCTCCATTGAGTATACCAAGTTTGAGCCACATCCTAGAGTTGATATGCGGCTAGCTCTACCTTCAAATTTGAACTCGCTCCCATAGCATGCAAGATCTTGTAGAACTCATCAAGAAAGTCTTGGGGTTCTTCATTCACCTTAGACCCAAAGAACATTGGAGGGTTCATCCTAGTGAAGTCCCTCAAGCGAGAAGAAATGGTTATAGTATTTTGGTTCACATGGGGTCTAACTTCCCGATTTTGCTCGAGCCGCCATAGCTTGCGATTGTGTAGGTACAGGTGGAGCTTGAGTAGTCATGGCGTGATCCAAGTTGATAAAAGTCATCATTCTCTCTCCATCCGTCATAGCCAGAGGATTGACCGAAGCTTGGTCACCTTAAGGACCTTGTTCTTGAGGAGGAGCTTAGCTACCTTAGGGAGGAACTCTTGCATTAGCTATCTCCTCTTCAACTCTTCGTGCGGCTGCCCTTCTAGTAGTCATAACCTATAACCAAAAAAAAGGGTTAGAAGAAAAGCACACATAGATTCAAGACTCTCGAGGCACGACTTTAAGAATACCAAAGAGGTAAGAATTTCCTAAGCATCACAAAGTCTCTCATTCATAAGTGTATCAAGCTTCACAATTATAAACAATACTCTATGTACGCATAGTTTAGTGAGACATAAATCCTAAGATTACCAAGCTCATGCTCTGATACCAAGTTTGTCACTACAAGGGAGCCCCCTAGACATAACCGGTGTCTTAGTCCCCAAAGAGGACTTAGACTATCCCTTAGCATACATCATGGCATATCATAGGTAGATAAAATACGAAAAATTAAAAACTTTTACATAGTGAAGTATACCTAGACTTCTCGTTTATCATATATGAAGTTTAGATAGACTTCTCATTAATGAAGTGTACATAGACTTCTCATTTATTTAATATAGAAAATTCGTATGAAATAGTCTAATATTTGTCTCACATATAAACCATATATCATAGAAGTATAAAATTTGGGTATAGCCCTAACACTATTACAACAAAATCTAAAAGATAAAGGAAAGAAAAAGTGTCTTTAGACATAATCAATACTAATCAATCTAGAAAAGTGACATCATCCTCGGACTTGAGGACTCAGCAACAACTTGGGAAAAGATCCAAGTATTCCTTGACAATGACCTTCTACTCTTCAATGGTCGGAACATACATATTTGTAGCACTATAAAGAACCTACATATTTGTAGCACTATAAAGAATATGGGTTAGTAAAAATTACATGTACCAAGTATGGATATATGCAAGTAAAACAACTGAAAGCATGCAGAAAGGGAAATTTTGTTCAAAACCATGCTAAGTCACTTTGAAAACCGTTATGCACATGTCACGACCGTGGAGAACCCCCTAGACGCAACCGACATACTCGTCCTCGTAGATTGCTCGAACTAACCTCTTAGCATTTGTCATTACATTTCATATGTTAAAAAGTGTTGAAAATTAAAAATTTGTTACATATTGAGGTTTACATAGACCTCTCGTTTACTAATCACATATACATATGGAGTTTACTTAGACTCCTTGCATAGGAAGCTTGCTTAGGCTTCTTGTTTAGACAATATTCGTAACATATAAAATTCTAGTCTAGTATATCGTCTCACATTTAAACCATCTAGAATTTAGAACATTCGAGCTTACACCATACTTCATTATAACAAAAGCCACATATAGGCTTATACAATAATAGTCTTCAAATAAAAAAGAAGGAAACTAAAATGTCTTTAGACTATAACAACATCAACTAGCTAGATAGTGGCATCATCCTTTGATGGTGAGGACCTACCAAACACTTGGGGAATATCCAAGTAGCGTTGCAATTGGCCTTCTAACTTCAACAGCCCGAACCTACATATTTGTAGAAATGTAAAGGAAATGGGTTTGTACATACACTTGTACTAAGTATGGAAACATATGCACATATAATGTTTTAAATCATGCTTAAAAGGGACATTTTGCTAAAATTTCATGACAAGTCACTTTCGAAAGCCTTAATGCACAATTAAGAACACATACAATCCAATGATCACATATTCATTAAGACAAATCCATATTTAACATAAGACCAACATCATCAATAAAGTCAAGTAAACATGGCTATCTTCGACATAGGTCATATCAACATGAATAGTAACATATCAAGATCATATAACCAAGGCAAATCCAACATAATGTCATAACAACAAAGAATGTACAAGAGTTCATATCACCATAACTTGTAAGACCTTACCAACGATCTCAACCCAAACACACAAGTTCAACGCTATTGTGAAGTCCGATAACCCCACATAATCAATTGAAACAAGGAAAAAGATCACAAGTAATGCCTAACATCTTATAACACAACATCATGAGTAGTAATCATCATATATAGATATATAGATCAATAACATGTTCATAAGTTAAACTAACAACATATAGGATCATCAACATGTAAAGCCAATATATGCATATCATCAAAGTCATAACAGCATAAAATCATCCTCCTAAGACTTCCCACAAGTCCAACTTCTGCAATGCATAGGTAGAGTTCCATACCCCTACCTATACTAAGAAGAACCCCTTAAGTCATCCTAATTAGAGTTCACATTATTATATTCATATTACTTTCGGGAACAATTGCCTTAACCGACATAGATGTGAACTAAACATGGAATCTGGTGTCATGAAACCCTACACTCAAAATAAGTGGTCTACTTGCCAAGGTAGGACCAATACATGAACATAGCATTCTAGGTGAATCCACTAGCTAGTATTCCTACGGCGACATAGTTCAAGAACTAGGAGACATACTTGAGACCCTCTTTATTCAATAATTTATTGTAATCTTTATCTCATGAGAACGTTCACACATTGGGAAGGGGCACTCTCTCATAACTAGTTCACTCGATGCTAAGATAAAGTCCCTTTTTGAAATGTATTTAAGCCTTTATTAAATATCGTATCTTATTATAGTCCATAGGTGACTAACTCCTTGTATAATCATTGTCATTAGCTAATTACGTAATTGCATAAGAATGTCCTTTCATTACAACCCTTCAATTAAGAGATCAACACATCTTCATCATCGTATCATAGTAATGCACATAAGTGATTTAAAATCATCCTTATATCATCATGCCTTAATCATAATATCACAATTCATATATTAAAAACATTTCAATCACGTTTATCATTCCATCACCTACTTAATCTAATCACATGTATTATTTCAATGAACATCATCATCAAATACGATCCATCACAATTGAAGTAAGGATTCAAGATCATAAGTCTTACCAATTTACCTTCACAAGCCTTCTTCCATGACATTACTATTAACCAACCTATTCACTCATCAATATACTTAATAATACCATATAATAGTAATCGACACAAGAACTAAGTCAATTGCATCATCACTAACCAATTCAACACTAATTCATAACTTAGGGTTAGGGAAATAGGCTCAATTCATGATTTCTTCTATAAAATTAGGTCTAATATCAATAACTATCCTAATTAACAAATGATCAATCATAATATATCCATAATAATTAAAAAAACAAGAACAATAGAAAGATCAATTTCGGAGTAAGAAAGAAACTTATGTTTTGTCAACTTTTGGAAATCAATTTGAAAGAACCCTTTGGAAAAAGGAATCCCAATGGTGAAGAGTTGACATACCTTAGAAATCCTTGAAGATTGATGCAGAGAAATTTGAATTATTTCAACTTTAATGCCCTTTGATCTTGTTCTTTAATGGTGTTCTTTGAGGAGAGAGAAAGTAGAGAGAAGGAAGAGCATTTGGAATGAAGTGAGTTGGGTTAGTTTAATGGGGGTTAGACCTTTTATAATCCCTTTTATTAAATTAATTAAACACACCCTAACTCTTTATTAACCAAATAAACAACTAACTAATTAAAGGACTTAACTAAAAACTTAAAAGTGAAAACACAGTCCAAACGATGACACCCCAACCTATGGATCGTAGGTGCATCGACCCCACTATACTGGCAAGGTGTCGATGAGTTCAGAGAGTCTATTTTTGGGAATTTTTGGGAAATAACTAATTCATTACCTATGGATCCATTGATTCCTCATCGATCAGATGACAGCTCGTCGATTGGTTTCATAGGTAACCACTGTCATTTGACAGCTTTTTGGTAATTTTGGAAGGGTCCTCCTCAAGGACCCCTAGGGTGGTCCTTGGAGAGTCATATCCAGACTTTTCGACCCTAAAAAAATTATAATACATGTTTAACACAATTTTACCAAATTTCATTGAATTTCGACTCTTAAAACTCTATGACACATGCCAAGGCACACTAACCTCTATTTCACTAGTATCCGGACATCATGGATGTTCCTTAACATATTGACTCTAAAACTTCTGAAATGTTTTATATACATTATTTTATGTCTTAAAACAATGTTACAATGACTAGTTCATCATGTGAGTCTCTAGATTAGGTCATGGAATTTTGGATTGTTACGTTATCCCCCCACCCTTAGGAACATTTGTTCCTGAATGACACTAAAATCTTTTTTGTTGAGAAAGGATAGACTCAAATACTATCGTCAACCAACAATATATATAAGCGAAATGAGTTACAACTCAAAGGATTGCTTCACAAATCCATACAAGATATAATCATGGCATTTACACATAGCAACTAAAAACATCAATTATCACATATAAGATCTCAACATTCACAACATGAGGAACTACCTTCTC